CCATTTCATTTCCCACATTTATTGTTATATAAACTGTAACTCTGTCATATGCGGCACAATCTCAATCCCCCACTTTTCCTTTATAGATATTTCCTTTCAGATTGAGTTCCACAACCCAGCTTTCGGATTGTTATAGGTACATGATTGTAGAGAATGAGCTTGGGAAAATGCGTCCGAAGCATGCAGCAAACTTTCAGAAAAAATGTTCGTTCAATACACAGAGAATGGATTGTCTATAGATTATAACATTTATACACTCGTTCAATACACAGAGAATGGATTGTCTATAGATTATAACATTTATACACTCCATCAAAACAAGAAGCAACAGAACGACAGGGCACAACTGGAAGTTGGAGGATGAATGACAGGAGATGCTGTAAGGACAGAAAGGGTAGTAGATACCTGGAAAAGTCTTCCAGTGAGAGTAACGATGGCTAACTAAGGAAACAACTGAAGAATGTTTGATATGTCATAATGTTTTCTTATGGTATTTTACATAACTTGGAAGCCATTATGTTATATTTCTATGTTAATTATATTAATTATGTTCTTTTTAAAGTTTTTTTAAGCTATTTTACTACTTTCCATTCCTTTAAATCTATATAGTATTTTCCTTGTAATCCACTGGCCACAGGTATACAGGTTCTATAAGACCATTGTGTTAATGTGTTATGCAAGGGGCTTGCATAATTCAATTCTGATAGAGTTCCACAATAATAGAATCTAAGACCAGACCAATCAATAATATCAGATGACCTTGCAATGCTTTTGCAAATACAATCCACTGGCCACAGGTATACAGGTTCTATAAGACCATTGTGTTAATGTGTTATGCAAGGGGCTTGCATAATTCAATTCTGATAGAGTTCCACAATAATAGAATCTAAGACCAGACCAATCAATAATATCAGATGACCTTGCAATGCTTTTGCAAATACAGTAAAATAATCTAATGGAGGAAAATCAACTTGCATGTACGCTACTCACATTTGTTTATGGCATTTAAACACTGGTTTCCCAAAAACAAAACAAAACAAAAAAAAGCAGAGAAAACAGATTTATTATAGAACGTGGTGTCTGAGATTTTTGTAGCAATTAGCAAACACTCTATCCGTTGAAAGTAAAGCCAAATTAGCATGCCCCATTCAACAGAGACGATATGCATTCAAAGGTTGTAAGAACTTTATCCCTTCATAAATTGGTATTTTCCTTGCTCTGATTTCATGTAGGTCTGGTATCCAGGAAACTGATACAAACAGATCCCCCTTACTTTGCAGAGATACATGATCTAGTCACTGGCATATTGCCCACTAAGTCAATAATAACCAGAGGGCTATAAGCTAAGCTCTTAGAAAGATCACTGTGAGAGCATAAATATGCATCTACCCCAAATATAGGGACAAAATAAAAACCAAGGCTTGAATATTAAGGTCTGGTGTCATTTTAACCCATTCTATACCAGTTAAGTGTTTATCTCTTCATTAGAACATGATATTTAGACACAATGATGTGATATGAAATGTGCCACACATTTAGCATTCTCCAGTCTCTAAAGAGTTGATGAAGGAATATAAGTAAAGCGTTATGTTTCCGAGAAATAACTGCGAATAGTTATGATAATAATATGCTGGATATGGTGTGTACAGACTGTGCTGTTATCATACAGATTTCCATTGGTTTCAAGGGGTTAGAGTGACTAATGTGGTAACGAATTAAGGCGAGCACTGAAATGTAACCGTCTTTCTTTTACTACATTTCTTGGGTCTCTGACTACAGAAAAAGAAAGGTTAACTTTATGCATTATTTATAAATAACTGTATTATTTTACTAGCTGAATATTTCCCTGTACTAAACAAACATTTCCAACTTTGTCCAAGGTGAGTCAAATTTGAGGTCATCGCCAATGTTAGTCTATAACGTAAAATCTCACCAGATCTGAATTGCCCAGGTGTTTAAAATTGGTCCAGTGTACCAATGTGGATCCCTTAACCCCCCTCCATTATTCTTTAAATGCATTTGAGTTTTCTATATCAACAACATTAAGACCCAATGTTACTACTTTTAGGAGATATAAAGATGTGAATCTTTATTTAAAGCATCTACATTCTAGGTCGACTATAACATTTCCACAAATTAAAAATGCAAAATGACACCTCCTCGTGTAGACAACCAACTGCCGGTAAAACTGGAGATACGGCTGTTTATTTTGATGTATTTTCTCTACATTTGTATAACTCAAGCTGTAAAAATTCTTGCACCATTTAAGAAAGAACAAAGTAACCCAATTTATATTTTCTAATTCCTCGAAGGATGTAAGAACAGATATGGGTTGAGCTGAAAACTTAGTTTGGTTTCTGTAGGCTGAGACTGGTAGATTATTTTCAGTTTTCATTACATATACAAAAACATCTTTTTTCCCAAATGAAGCCTAATATTAGTATAACCTCTGCTACTGAAAGCATTGCAGAAATTGTTTGCTGTCCCTATTGGCTCCCTGTATTTGCTGGGTTTTGGTCAAGATCCAAGTTCATTGATATTCACCATTACTGTTCTCGACTCATGGCTGGCTTGTTTCAGAATGGGATATTTTAGGCCTTTTCTGATATTATAATTAAACTCATGTTCAGTGGAGCAGAAAGAAAATTTGCTTGTGGAACATTTCCATGTAGGGCGTGCATGTAGACATGTTTGATGAATGTTGATATTTATCGAAATTAAATGTTTTACAGTGAAATATGACATGTTTCCCAACACATATTGCTTGCATATGTATTGTTTAAATATGCACAGATTACTGCAATATGTTTGCAATTTAATAAAAATTGCATTTATTGGATTGGATCCAATGATAATTTTTTTATATGATGTCTCGGTCCAAATGTAGCATCTGCTAGATGAATGACTTCTACTCTAAAACACACACACCTGGGATGGGGATACGTCTAATGTCAGTGGTCTGATTTGAGAACCTATTTATAAGAATGAGAAACAAATATGGTCTCATCAGTCAATTCACTCCAGAAGGGGTGGTCTCCCATTTGGATTACAACAATAACATTAATACAAGATATTGGCTACCTAGATAAAACTGAATAGAGTGAAGTCATTAAATGGAGTAAGAAAAGGGAAACGTTAGCTATTAAAACCTCTTTAAGTTATGCTATTAGTCATGGAAAGTGAGTAAAGCCAAGGTAAAACACTTTGATTGGAACTAACAGTCAACCAATCTTATAAACTTTTTTTTGACAATCTGATTTCCACAAGTTTCCACCATCATTACTGTATTTCCACTATCAGCACTATACTCCCACTATCAGCACTATACATCCACTATCAGCGCTATACACCCACTATCAGCGCTATACACCCACTATCAGCACTATACTCCCATTATCAGTGCTTTACACCCACTATCAGCACTATACACCCACTATCAGCGCTATACACCCACTATCAGCGCTATACACCCACTATCAGCACTATACTCCCATTATCAGCACTATACACCCACTACCAGTGCTATACTCCCACTATCAGCACTATACACCCACTATCAGCACTATACACCCAATATCAGCACTATACACCCACTATTAGCACTATACACGCACTCTCAGCACTATACTCCCATTATCAGTGATTTACACCCACTATCAGCACTATACACCCACTATCAGTGCTATACTCCCACTATCAGCACTATACTCCCGCTATCAGCGCTATACTCCCACTATCAGCACTATACACCCACTACCAGTGCTATACTCCCACTATCAGCACTATACACCCACTATCAGCGCTATACACCCACTACCAGCACTATACACCCACTATCAGCGCTATGCACCCACTATCAGCACTATACACCCACATCAGCACTATACACCCACTACCAGCACTATACACCCACTATCAGCACTATACACCCACTATCAGTGCTATACTCCCACTATCAGCACTATACTCCCACTATCAGCACTATACACCCACTATCAGCACTATACACCCACTATCAGCACTATACTCCCACTATCAGCACTATACACCCACTATCAGCACTATACTCCATTATCAGTGCTTTACACCCACTATCAGCACTATACACCCACTATCAGTGCTATACTCCCACTATCAGCACAATACACCCACTAGTAGCACTATACACCCACTATCAGAGCTATACACCCACTATCAGTGCTATATTCCCACTATCAGCACTATACACCCACTATCAGCACTATACACCCACTATCAGCGCTATACTCCCATTATCAGTGCTTTACACCCACTATCAGCATTATACACCCACTATCAGTGCTATACTCCCACTATCAGCACTATACACCCACTATCAGCACTATACACCCACTATCAGCGCTATACACCCACTATCAGTGCTATACTCCCACTATCAGCACTATACACCCACTATCAGCACTATACACCCACTATCAGCGCTATACTCCCACTATCAGTGCTATACTCCCACTATCAGCACTATACACTCACTATCAGCACTATACACCCACTATCAGTGCTATAGTCCCACTATCAGCACTATACACCCACTATCAGCACTATACACCCACTATCAGTGCTATATTCCCACTACCAGTGCTATACTCCCAGCACTATACACTCACTATCAGCGCTGTACACCCACTATCAGTGCTATACACCCACTATCAGCGCTATATTCCCACTATCAGTGCTATACTCCCACTATCAGCACTATACACCCACTATCAGTGCTATACTCCCACTATCAGCGCTATACACCCACTATCAGCGCTATACACCCACTATCAGCGCTATACACCCACTATCAGTGCTATACACCCACTATCAGCACTATACTCCTACTATCAGCACTATACTCCCACTATCAGCACTATACTCCCACTATCAGTGCTACACACCCACTATCAGCGCTACACACCCATTATCAGTGCTATACACCCACTATCAGCCATATACTCCCACTATCAGCACTATACATGCACTACCAGTGCTATACTCCCACTATCAGAGCTATACACCCACTATCAGTGCTATACTCCCACTATGAGAGCTATACATCCACTATCAGCGCTATACACCCACAATCAGAGCTATACACCCACTATCAGCACTATACACGCACTATCAGTGCTATACACCCACTATCAGCGCTATACTCCCACCAGTATCAGCGCTATACTCCCACTATCAGTGCTATACTATCACTATCAGCTCAATACTCCCACTATCATTACAGTATTTCCACTATCAGCGCTATAACCCACTATCAGCACTATACTCCGTCTATCATTACCGTATTTCCACTATCAGCGCTATACACCCACTATCAGCCCTATACACCCACATCACCGCCATACACCCACTATCAGCGCTATACACCCACTATCAGCACTATACTCCCACTATCAGTGCTATACACCCACTATCAGTGCTATACACCCACTATCAGCGCTATACTCCCAGTATAAGTACTATACACCCACTATCAGCGCTATACTCCCACTATCAGTGCTATAGTCCCACTATCAGCGCTATACACCCACTATCAGTGCTATATTCCCACTATCAGCGCTATACGCCCACTATCAGTGCTATACTCCCACTATCAGCGCTATAACCCACTATCAGCACTATACTCCGTCTATCATTACCGTATTTCCACTATCAGCGCTATACACCCACTATCAGCCCTATACACCCACATCACCGCTATACACCCACTATCAGCGCTATACACCCACTATCAGCACTATACTCCCACTATCAGTGCTATACACCCACTATCAGTGCTATACACCCACTATCAGCGCTATACTCCCAGTATAAGTACTATACACCCACTATCAGCGCTATACTCCCACTATCAGTGCTATAGTCCCACTATCAGCGCTATACACCCACTATCAGTGCTATATTCCCACTATCAGCGCTATACGCCCACTATCAGTGCTATACTCCCACTATCTGCGCGATATGCCCACTATCAGCGCTATACTCCCTCTATCAGCGCTATACTCCCACTATCAGTGCAATACTCCCACTATCATTACCGTATTTCCACTATCAGCGCTAAAACCCAGTATCAGCGCTATACTCCCACTATCATTATCTTATTTCCACTATCAGCGCTATACACCCACTATCAGCGCTATACTCCCACTATCATTACCGTATTTCCACTATCAGTGCTATACTCCCCCTATCAGTGCTATAGTCCCACTATCAGTGCTATACTCCCACTATCTGCGCTATACGCCCCCTATCAGTGCTATAATCCCACTATCAGCGCTATACTCCCACTATCAGCGCTATACACCCACTATCAGTGCTATACACCCACTATCAGTACTATACTCCCACTATCAGCGCTATACACCCACTATCAGCGCTATACACCCACTATCAGTACTATACTCCCACTATCAGCGCTATACACCCACTATCAGTACTATACTCCCACTATCAGCGCCATACACCCACTATCAGCGCTATACTCCCACTATCAGTGCTATACACGCACTATCAGCTCTATACACACACTCTATACACAGCAGTCTTCTGAAATTAATTTAACAAAATTTCTGCCATATGGAGGTTTGCATTTTTGGAATTTTGTTAACATAGAAAGAATAGGAAAATCCCACGAAAATTGGCCTTTAATTAATATATATATATATATTGTAAATATCTGGATAAAACTCCTGGTGGTAGGACTGGAATATTGACCAGATTCTTCATATGTTTTTTTTTTTTTTTAAATAAAGATGTGAAGTCCTGTGGGTCCTCTGTATGTAAAGAAATATTACTTATTAACAATAATGCTAAGCTGCATTAATATATCTGAGAGTCCAGATTACCATCTGAAAGATTTTTGAGAAAAATGCAAAAATATGAAAAAAATGAAAAACTCTTAATGCCACATTAAGATAAATATTATGCATTTATTTTGCAGTACACAGATAGACACACTTTCAAGCAATTTTGTTCACTTATCAAGTGAAAAAAAGTAACCACTAGTGAGAAAAAGAAGAGAAGGAGCAGCAACCATCTATATTTTAAATATACCATATATAAATATACCATATATAAATATATAAATATATAAATATACCATATATAAATATATAAATATACCATATATAAATAAACCATATATAAATATACCATATATAAATATATAAATATACCATATATAAATATATAAATATACCATATATAAATATACCATATATAAATATACAATATACAATATATAAATATATAAATATACCATATGTAAATATACCATATATAAATATACAATATATAAATATACCATATATAAATATACAATATACAATATATAAATATATAAATATACCATATATAAATATATCATATATAAATATATAAATATACAATATATAAATATATAAATATATAAATATATAAATATACCATATATAAATATACCATATATAAATATACAATATATAAATATACCATATATAAATATACAATATACAATATATAAATATATAAATATACCATATATAAATATATCATATATAAATATATAAATATACAATATATAAATATATAAATATACCATATATAAATATACCATATATAAATATACAATATATAAATATACCATATATAAATATACAATATACAATATATAAATATATAAATATACCATATATAAATATATCATATATAAATATATAAATATACAATATATAAATATATAAATATACCATATATAAATATACCATATATAAATATACAATATATAAATATACCATATATAAATATACAATATACAATATATAAATATATAAATATACCATATATAAATATACCATATATAAATATATAAATATATAAATATACCATACATAAATATACAATACATAAATATACCATATATAAATATAAATATATAAATATACCATATATAAATATATAAATATACAATATATAAATATATAAATATACAATATAAAATATAAAATATATAAATATATAAATATAGATTTGTTTCCTGCTTCTCCTTTGTTTCACTCTACTGGTCACTTCTCACTTGATTTGAGAATAAAATGAACATTTAGTGTTTGTTCCCTAGTCATCAGTCACCTTGTATGAGATGTGTGAGAGTGAGGATCCAGTCAGCTGAAGAAGAAGGTAAGACTCACGTTTCCCTGCACCCGTTTGCCACATCACTGGGAGTGGAAAAGTCACCATGTGGGTTCTTTTCAAAAGTCATCCCAGAAGATGACAGAGCAATTTTAACGAGAGAGTCGCAAATCCTAAGCCAGAATGGCCAAAAATTAAACTTCCTTCAGTCCAGCTGTTTGGTCTAAATTTGCAACGTCTTGTAAATGATATTTTATTCCCAGCCCGAGTGATCACAAGATACTAGAAGCAAACTAGACTCCTTGAAAACAGATGATTATGACTGGGCATATTGCTTCGTTTAAACTTAAATGATAACACCAATCTAATATTGTATTGACGTCGGTAAATGTTAGACTGAAGCAATTGGTTTAAAAAATAAATAAAAAATTTTTGGGGTGACTCAGGGTTCGCCCGTGTGCCATTTCGATTCGAATGTATTTTGTCCAAGCTGTCATTTTGTAAAAAACTATTTGGACGAACCAAAATTGCAGTAAAAAAAATGACCAATCAGTGTACTGCAAAATATAAATATTATGTAAATATTTTACATTACACCGATAGGTACATTTTACAAGCAATTTGGTTTACAGAGCAAGTGAGCAAAATAAACCAATAGAGGGAAAACGGGGATTAGGAGCAGTAAAAAAAACTCAAAAAATACAAATAGTTTTTACGTCCTCCTTTTTTCCCTATACTGGTTACTTTTCACTTGATCTGTGAATAAAATCAGCATTTAGTGGCTGTCTACTTGGTCATCAGTCACCATTTTTTCCATCATTCATCTTTTTTTTGGAACCACTGAAGGAACTCTGAATGAAACAGATTTTTCCTTTGTCTGTTTTGGTTTGACGAGTGATGTTACAAAGGAAATTGAAATGCTACAGAGGTAAGTGTGTGTTTACATCTGCTGGACTGCTCAGCCCCGAAAATCTATCTCTGCCGTTTACTGGACAACAGGCTGAACGACGATCACTATCAGAGAAGTGATATGTCCTCTTCAATAAAAACATTGCTTTATTTTAAACACACAAAAACAGACAAAAATTATATTTTTTAAAATGTTATTGGTTACTATTTATAAATCGTATTTCATTTTTGCAATTGTCTGTATTCAATGTCTTAGATTTTATGTTCTTTGCTTTCTGGTTATGGGAATTTTTGTTCCTGCTTTAGTTATGCTGAACTGTGAAACGTCTCTTCAAAAGTATCTATTAATCACAACAATTAACTGCCCCATAAGAGAATCTGACAACGCCTTTTAAACTAGAATGTAAGCAAATCGTGTAGAGAAGATGAAAAGCAGAAGATGCTGTTATAGACTGTTAAATATCCAATAGAAATAACTGCTCTCTGCAGAATTCATATATTATTTGCATAGTAACAGCAATGTACTCTGGACATTCCACCTCGTAGCTTTTTAACAGGGACGAATGATCGTTACACGTGATATATCAAGCCATGAGAAGCTGTCACGTTTATAGTTTATGTATTGTATGTAATACTCCTATGGAGTGGAGGCTCACAAATTGTTTTAAAAGATTAGTCTTGTCTCTCAAGACACCTTCTGCTTCCCAGATCATGTAGCTCTCCAGCATTTAGCAAGAGGCATTTATAACCTGACCTAGAATCTCGTCCTGTAGCAGTAGAAAGAAAGTGTTGTGTGATTGTTATACATTCTACTTTCTATTTATTACACATATCTGCCTGTCTATCTGAAACTTTCGAGGACTTTTGAGGACTTATCAGCTTACGTTAAGAAAATAACTGAGGGAAAACATGTCAAAAGGTGATAAAGATAAATATATACAATCATGACATGCCCTACAGTTTTTCAGTGACTGTCGACCTTACATTTGGCTGTGCATTGTGGCAAATGTAAGTCACAAACATTTAGGGTTGCAAAGTTAGCTTTTACTGGTCTTAAAGTAGTTCTGGTTCCACATGAGCAGGTCACAACCTACTGGTACCTTCAAGCAAGGGGAGATTCTATACATTGGCATCAAACAAAGACAAGAGACCGACAGGTGGGATCCCTGGCAAAAAAGCACTGCCACCATTATCCATTCAACAGCTTAGTCATAGTCCAATTCCCCTAAGTAACCAGAACACTAGATAAGTGAGGTTAAAATATGATGAGCTATCCAATGCAACAAGCAGGGTGTCCCTAGTTTTTCTACAAGCAGTGGTCCAAAAACATGACCATCTTCACTTGCTAGTTTACAAAGGAAGTGCCTGAATAAACCACTTCCTGATTGACCACCTCCAGAACTTCAACTGGCCTCAACTGCAAGACTATAAGAAT